CCACATGACAAAGAGCTGGAAGCCCACCTATGGGACACCCATTGGCCAGAGATGGCACCACTGGGCATTGAGATGGAAAATCACTGAAGTGGATTTAAACACAGTTAACTCCCAATATGGATAAGACCATGATCTTATAAATATTCTTTAAGAAAAGAATCAAATGTCTTCTGCCTTTTCTATTCAAACTATACTACCATATAACCAAATAATAGAAGCATTCTAATAAACAAAGGAATGTTTGCATTTAAATTTTATTTTTAACCCTACTAAATTAACCCAGTTGCTGAATATTCATGATTGCTAAGCATTTCAAAAATGGGACAGACATTATAAGCCTCCTGAAGGAAGTACAAAACATCATCTATGAAGTAGTATTTCAGAGAAAAGGGAGAGAGAAGAGAAGAAGGAGAAAAGGAAGGCAAGGAAGGAAGAAGGAAGAACTTGACAGCTCCTGTTGCTAACTTTGAACTCACAAGGGCACCAAGTGTCAGGAGCGTCATAACTGCAGCACAGGAAGATCCAAATAGGGACATCCTTCTGTCTTGTCCTGGCTTCTTCCACAAATTGCGAGGGAGAAAGAGAATGGAAGGTAATGGATTAAAAGACGTGCTTTTTAAATGGACAAAATAAACTCTCACGCTTAGGAATGAGCCTTGGGTGGAAAATCTATAAAGGAAGGTAAAAAAAGATTGTGATATAAGTGGCTTCTTAAGTAGACATTGTAGTGCACATCTTAATTCCAGCACATGGGAAGCTGAAGCAGGAGGACCTGGAGTTGGAGGCCAGCCTGGGCTATCTCTTTAGAACTTGTAGTCTCCTTATGTAAAGAAAAGTGATTTATTTTAGGAAGGAGTGAGGGTGGAGCAGACAGGTAGAGGGCCTCTGGGGTCCCTGGCAAAATTCTATCTCTTGACCAGGGTAATATTTAAAAGTTTGGTCACCTCATAAATTATTAAGTTCTGCCTCTGTGAGCCTTTGGGAATTTATGTGATATTACAATCAGATCTTTTCCTTCCTTAAGTAGAAGGATTTGGACAGGCCAAGACAAAAAGGAAAGTTGTGCAGCACCAGGGTTACAGAGCTGAGCTCATTGGAGAGGCTGGATAAATGTTGTCTAAAGTAGCTCACAGTTACACAAGGGGAGGCTATGGCAAAATCCCCATGAAAGCAAAGTGGTGGAGGAAAGTCCTGCTCCTCACCCAATCCTGGCAAAACTCTATCATGACATAAAAGCAGCATCCTGTATAGTCTGTACTAGCAGCTCAGTGTCATTCCAGGGACAGATGAGCTTTAAGTCTGTCATGTCAGACCTCAAAGGGACACTCACTGACCACTCCCCTCCATTTCCTCCCCTAAATCACTCAAAGTTTTGCCTCTCCCTTAAAATTTTCAGCACCTCCTTTACCTGTCTGTACCTGGGTCAAATGCTTGGCCGGAAGAATGGTGCCTTCCCTCCTAATAAGAAGCCCTCCCGGCCTCCGACGGATCTCAGCCCTCCTGCCCACCCAGGTGTTTTCTAGACTATGTCACCCACGTGTCCTTTCCGTCATAGCCTTTCCTCTCAGAATACCAGCTTGTTGTTATTTCTCTACTTTCAGAAATCCTTTAAACCCCATTGCTCTTGCCCCACGTCTCTGCCCCCTTTTCAGGAAAACTCCTAGGAGGAAAGTGCCTTTCTCACTCTCTGAATCTTCCCTGTGTCTCCAACAAAGCTTTTGGCTCTGTGACTCCACCGAAGTGGCCCTTGTCTTATTACAATGGCAGCAAGGTTTTTAACTGAGCGTTCGCTAAGTGGCTCAGAAGCAGCCTTGGGCATGTTTTCACCACCTCCTCCTAGACAAGTTGTGTCCCCTTGGCTTTCTCCTTTTCCACCTGGCTCAGGGGCTGCTGTTCTGCTCATCTTCCCTACACAGAATGGATAATCTCATCCAGTCCCCTGGCTTATGAGATAACTTGGAGTCAGCATGTTAAATGAGACAGGAGAATCAGAGCTCTAACCTAGTGTCAGGCGATACTAATCATTGCAAGGATATAGGTAATGTGGAGACACAGGCAAACTGTGGAGAAACCTGGATCTCCAAGGCAGCTTCTGTGGTCTTCCCATGGCATATTAGGATGTTCTTTAGGCGAGATTTATATTCAAGGACTCTAAGAAATTCATGGAGTCATCACTAACATATAATCTCTCAATTATGTATTCTTCAATCATCACCAAGTGAAATACCTCATCTCATCCACTACTAACTGCAAGTTCATGATGCCTTCCAGAGAGCCCTTTCCCATAAATCCATGCATTCTCACTTGTCTACCAATCATAGAGCTTGCCACCAAGAAGACCTCTTTCCTAGTAAATGCAGTGTACATAGGACCACTAGCATGTGCACAAAGATGTGACTCGATTGCCTTTCTCCTTTTCTGGAACCAGAAAAATGAGCAAATGGAGGAGAGGCCAAGTGGCTTCAGATATGCACCTACAACCATAATTTTTTCTAAACTCCAAACTTACCCATTCAATAAGCCACTCAGCACTCTGACTTACCTGCATGTTAGGTTATGAAATTGAATGTGAGCAGGATGGAAACAATGACATATTGACTTCTCTCCATTCCCTCTCTCCATACACACACACACACACACACACACACACACACACACACACACATGCCACTCCTCTTCCACAGCACCCACCTCAGGAAAATACGTCCCACTCCCTCTTGACTCCTTTTTGTCTGTCACACCAGGCATCCAATGTGCCTGAAAATACTGAAGTTTCTACCTTCAAAGTATATCCAAATTCAGTCCCTGATCCCACCGCTACTGTCCCCATCATCTCACACAAGTGGCTGACATGAGTCACTCCTTGCATCCCTGCTCCCTGAATCCCCTACAGAGTCTATTCTGAACATACCAGCCAGATGAGTGTCTTTAAAACATTAGTCAACTCAGGTGACTCCTCAGTACAGAGCCCTCCAGAGATTCCAGTATTTTTCAGAATAACATCCAGACTTCTTACAACAGCCATCAGACTTTCTGGATCCCATGAATTCTGCCTTTGCCTTCTATTATCCTCTCTGGTTGGCTCTGCCTCAGCCCTATGACCTCCTGGCGATACCTCAACCTAACCAAGGATCTATGGCCCCAGGACCTTCATTCTGTTGTCTGGTCCTTCTGGACAGCTCCTTCCTCAGGGAGCCAGGGGACATGCCTCCTCATCTCCTTCAAATGTCCACGTAAGTGCACCTACTCTGTAAGGCATTTTCCAGTACTCCTTTAAAATTGTGACTTGCATTTTGCTTGGAATCTATCTCTTCCTTATTTATTATTCTCTTCTCACTTCTCACCATTTCAATTGCTGCCCATTTTCATCTTTCAGTATTTACTGTGATAGTCCCATGGATGAGGACAGAGGCATTTGTTTTGTTCATTGCTGTCCTCACCTCCATCCATCATAGTTTCTGGCACATATTAGGCTCTCAGTAAATGTTGCATAAAATAATTAATAACTGAGAAGATCCATTTGGCTTAATCTGAGTTTAGAGGATAAAATTATCAGATAATATAAGAAGAAGAGTAACTTGGAACTGCAGTGAAGGAGACCTTGGAAATGTTCCCATTGAAAATGTCTGGGTTTTACTCCACAGGCTGAGGAACCACTAAAGGGTTCCTGAGAAAGGTTTTTGAGAAGCAAATTGAAGCCAGGAGTAGAACATTCCAGAGTCACTGGGCTCTGGTGGGAGCAGCCCAAGACTCTGAACTCAAGGAGGGGTCCTTGGAGATAAACCACTGGATAGTATCCCAGAAGTGTGTTAAGGGATAGAAATAGCCTGAGAGATGAAGGATCCCAATTGTCCTCCACCCCCACCCAGACAGCAAAGGAATCCCAAAGGCACAGGTGGGCTTGGAGTGGCAGTAAAGGAGGATACCTCATCTCAGTTCCCTACCCACTCTCCACCCCCTGAGTGGGCATCGGCTGAGTCTTCCTGAGTTACACCTCCAGAGATGGTAAGAGGGAAGGAGTAAATTCACCCATCTCTGGGTTCCTAAATTAAGGTACCTCCAGGACCACAGACTGTGAATGAGAAGGGAACAAACATAAGGCTGGACTTTCAGGGCTGGCCCAAACTGTGATCTTCCTCCAGCCATGGCAGATGGGTCAGTACCCTGGCCTGATGGGGCCTCTCCCAGGCTGGAGGGAAGGTGAGGGTGCCATCCCCCACCCCACAGTTGTGGGAGAAACAAAAAGCCCTATCCCTATGGCTCCTCTCCCCACCCAAGTCCCTTCCCTACTTGTCCTCCTTCCCATACCCGTTTGTACCTTCTTCTGGGTGCTGCAGGAAGCTGTGCTTCTGCTTCTGTTCCAGCCTCTTTGGCTGGGCTCTGGGGCCATCCTGGGCTCCCACTGTAATATTGCAGTTGCTGGGGGCGAGGTAAGGGAGGAGTACAGGTTGTAGAAGTAATGGTAGTGGTGTGGACACTGCTTTAAGAATAAGAATACTGATCAAAGGAAAAACGTTGCTCTTTGACAGTAGGCTTCTTCATGGGGGTTGCCAACAGTTATGAAGTAGAATGTTGGACCTATTTTTTAAGTGATTATAAAACTTCATAGTATCTAAACTAGAAGTGTGAAAATAAGTGTATTGCCTTATAAGGTAGATAATGATGCGTTATAAGTGCTCATCATTTAATATACAGATATAGTCCTAAAAATTTATATGAAATTAGGCTGTTTGAATACAACTGGTGGGCACAGAATATCACACTTTGGAAAATCTGCTTTCCAAAGACAAAAACTCAGAGTAAATGCTTCACTCACCCACTTTGCATTTGAGTTTGGAAGACTTGCTCAATGTTAGATCTCCAGTACTGCAAGCTCACACCATATCATCCACTGAATCTGGTTCAGAAAGAAATCGCACACTCCCTTACTGTGAACTTTCCACAGAAACAGCAATCTAGTGCTGGTCTGCACTCAGTCACCTTCCTTTTGCTTCTTGTAGTACAACCGGTACCAGCAGTATGGTGCTGAAGAGTGTGTGCTGCAGATGGGGGGTGTGCTGTGCCCCCGTCCTGGCTGTGGAGCAGGGCTGCTGCCTGAACAGGGCCAGAGGAAAGTCACCTGTGAAGGGGGTCATGACCTGGGCTGTGGGGTAAGTACTGACCAGACTGGGAGGTGGGCGTTTCTTTGCTTTTGCAAATGGGCAAGTATTATATTCCTATTTTCCCTGTGAACTCAAATGTCAGATCTGATGAATAAGAAAACATCATTAAATTCTAACACGTGACTCAGGTAGTCGTATTAAGATTTTCTGCTTTAATTGCTCATGAAAGTGTTTTCTTCTAAAACGTTGTAGACCACTACACCAGACTTTCACACTTTTGTTGTAGTGCTCAAATGATTTGGAGCAAACCATGTTCTTTCTTCAGAGTTACCTTAAAGTAGACAGGAGTGAAGGGGGAAGAGAACTCCCTATCAGGGATGAGACACAGTTTGCCTAAATGCTTCAAGAAATAGATGGAGATTAATATGGAAAACTTGAACCGTTTTGTGTCATAAAAATCACTTCAAATAAAGATGCGCAAAGCTAACGGTGTCTGTTAGGGAAACAGAATAAGAAAGATGGGAAGTGTTCCAAGAGGTCAAAACATATGACCTGAACTGCCACGTGAATGAATCTCTATCCGCCAGCTGGCGGGCAAGGGGAAGGGAAGTATAAATTCAGCACATAAAGGTTTACTAAATTATAGGTTGAAATGACGAATACTAATCCTGATATTAAATTTCGTGCAGGAGGGAAAAGGGAAAAAGGCATATGTGCTTATAAAATGCTGTTGAGTTTTGTCAGGAAACATTTCTTTTAAAATTGAAATTCATGAGGAACTGTGTGGAAGAAGGGTGTGATAGCACAGGCCTATTACCCAGACCTAAGCTTTGGTTGAGCACTGTCAGTCATCTATGCACAAATTGGCATCAGTTTCCTTGTCTGTCATGTGAGGTGGCTCACAAAACCATGGGTTGAGCAATAACGGAAGTGGAAGGAAAAAAACAATGAGATACTGTGATGCCTAAATGGAAAGAAATACCTTGGACTCACAATCATAATGAAATTAGGATGAAAATGCAAGTAATGTTTGCCAACCTCAGAAATTATGGAGATCAGACCAGACTTTCCAGGCTTAGTCTTTGTCGATGCTGCATTGATTGTAGGGGGCTTAAGCCAGCTGCTGAATGAAGGCAGCAAATCCTGGACAATGTTTTTTCTTAGAGTGAGTTACAGTCATTTTAGGAGAATGGCTGATTTTTATGCTTCTGCCTGCTAACTGCACCATTGTTCCATTCTGCAAAGCTCAATTTTAAGATTTTGACTTTCCTTAGGGAGGCTGACAGTTTCTTTCATCCTTCTTGTGCATTCAGTTATTCACTTTGCTTTGAGAACTTTAACGGAGTCATATAATTTTAAGTTTTGAAGACCTTTATCTTTAAAAAAAAGAAAAACCCAATGAGACATTGTGAGTGACCTACATGTTTAAGCTCCAAGTCACAGGAAATTACATTGGGAGTGAAGTGAGTTGTTCCAGCACACCCTTGCATTAAAAGAGTTTTGGGGCAAACTCTACCTCAAGGAGGATGGCTATGTTCAAGATGGTCCTTTTGTCTTCTGGAAATTCTAGGTAGTGAGTATTTGTTTTATTTTGATTTGCTCTATTTGTTGCTTTGGGAGGTATGTTTATTGTTTGAAAATTAGTTACTTAGTGCTAAATAACAAATAGCCCCAAATTTCAACCATTTAATAGAACAAACATTTATTGTATCACAGAGTTCCTGAGGATCAGGAATCATCCCTGAGGGACTTGGCCAGGTGATTCTGGTTCAGAGTCTCCCATGGATTTGTAGTCAATGTGGGTACAACCATTTGAAGGTTTGCCTAGAACTGGAAAACCCACTTTTAGAATGGTTCATAGGCCTGACTGTGGATATAAAGGACCTTAGTTCCTCCTTGGCTATTGTCTGAAGGCTATAATTCACAATATGTGACTCTCTTCTTAGGTTGTTTGTCCCTACAATGGCAGCTCATTTTCCCCAGAGTAAGTGATCTAGAAGAGAGCAAGGAGGGAGCCACAGTGTCTTTGGGACCTAATCCCCTTAAGTTGCTCACTATCTCCACTTCATTCTACTTATGAGAAGCCAGGCACTAGTTCAGCCTACCCTCAAGGGAGGGGAACTTGGCTCCATCTTAAAAGAAAGAGTATCACAGAACTCTTTTTAAACCACCACAGTTTGCAATCTGAAGAAGGTGGAAACAACAAAGAGAATGAGTTTCTGATGGCCACATCTGCCTTTGTACTTTTCCTTCTCTCCCACCTTATGGCCCAGTCTCCATGATGTGTTTCAGGCTCCTATCAATGCTCATAGCTTTGGCTTCTCAGCAGAGGTAAATTAATCTCATCATTGTCCTTTTTATTCAGATAGTTAACTTTCACAAAAAGGCATTGCCAACTTAAATGCTAAAAAGAGTCCACAGGGAGGACTATAGGAGGTTGGGTTGGATATCTGAAGTTCAAATCCTGGCTCTACCAATTACTAGTAGTGTTAATCTTTCGGTGCCTCAATAGGGTATATAACAGTAACCTTGTATAAGATTTTTGTGAATAGTAAATGAGAAAATAAATGTAAGATATGTAGAACAGTGTCAGCATAAAGTACAGATTTATTTAATGTTTAATCAAAGGCTTAATCAAAACTTATCAAAAGCTTACTAAAAGACACAATACTCAAGGAAAATTGCTTATAAGACTCTCATTTGATCTCTGCCAAGTCATCTAGAATCTACGTCCGGATCAAGTCAGATCTACAGCAGAAAATTACACAAAATAGTACTCAGTATTTTAGCCCTTCAAAGAATTGCTTTTCCTAAACAGGACTTTGCAACAGATGCCATGTGTTTATATTCTGGTTGATGCATGTGACTCAAAACTTGCAATGAAGTTTTCTTGAGGACCCATGATGACTATTCCAAGTCTGACTTGAATACCAGGAATATCTGTGCCAGTCCTGAAGAAAGTCATCATCCTTAGGGACATTGCTAATTGAGCAATTGATAAGGTTACCTCTGAAACTGGCTGACAGAAATCCCAGAGCTACATCTGTGCCCACAGCACATACACACAGACTTTGGTGCAGTACAGTTTGATGCTCATTTGCCAACTTTCCTTTTTTTCCTTCCTTCACTTCACTTTTCCTAATATTTGCATTTTACCTTCATTTGTGCATCTTTGTGAGTTGCCAATCTTTTCTGGATCTAAGGATGGTGATGGAAAGCTGTTGTAAAGAAATCGTGGTTAAACTGTGTTAGTTCAGAGGCAGAACATGTCACCAAATGAAAATGTCAGAGAAAGCGAATCTCTTTTCACTCTTTGCTCTAACGCTGTGGACAACAAGCCACAAAATGGGCTGCCTCTGGGAGCAGCAAGTGCCTCACCCTAGGTGGTATTCAAAGAAAGTTAATGGTAGCAAAGCTATAGAAGAATTACGGCATCCTGGATGGAGGAAGAAGCTCTAGCTATCACTAACTCTTTGGTTCTCAGGATATAGTGTGTGAGTTTATTTTTAGGTATCTTTTAATCCACCCATGCTTAATTTTCCTCTAAACTATCAACAGGTACAAAAAACACAACTCTTATTACGTGGGTATGCAAGAAATGTTCAATGTTACCAAAAGGTTCTCATGTGTAAAAAGGTTGAAAATTAAGTCTTGGGGTGCATTAAAATGTGCCCACAGCCAGGTTTTCAGAGCTCAGACACACCCACATTTTGAGCTCCAGGCTTGCTACGGTTCTAATCTTCTAGTCATTTGAGCCCCACTCTGTGCCCAGACAGCCCTTCACACATCCACGATTACCCCTGTATAATTTCTGTTTTAAGAAACAGGCCCTAGTGTTTGGATTAACTTGGCTTCTTTATTTTTTCATGTTTTTTCTTTTATTCTTATTAGTATGTTATAGTTGTACCAAGGGTACATTGTGACATTTACAAAAGTGCTTGCAGTAGATCTTATATCTTAGTTAGATATCTTAGTTAGATATGTTTTCCTTTATCTCCACGCACCCTTTTCAGTTGTTGAACAGTTTCAACAGGTCTCATTGTTCCATTTTCATACATGAATACACAGTACTTCTGCAATATTTACCCTCCTTCGCTCTTTTCTTCTTTAAAATAGGTGCTAACATTAGCATCCAGGACACTGTTGTTCAAACATACTGTGATGTCTATTGGAAAATGAGATTCCCTGACCCTTTGCCCTACCTTGTCACTGGGCTCACTTATTACCAAGGAACAATGCACATTAACCTAAAACATGAACACAGGGTTTCTATGCAAATGATAAAGTCAGTCCATCTAGGGAAGGCCTGACCATGTGTGATGGTCACAGCAAATGCATTAACATTGTAAGGAATGATTAGAGAGAAAGTACCACCTGCTAGGATTCAAGTTGAAGTGTGATAGTGATTTCTTTATATTCCTGACCTAAGTCCACGTTCCTATCCTCCGTAAATTCATGTAGTAGAATTCAGTATGCATCAAATGAATAAATAAGTGAATCTTAACAATGTAGAAGTAACTCAAATAAATGATCACTTCTATTTTCCCTTATTATATATTAATATCATCATTCGAGTACTTGGGAGACTGAGGCAGGAAGATTGTGAGTTAGAGGCAAGACTGGGCTACACAGTGAGATCCTATCTCAAAATAAAAAATAAAAAAATTGCTTACTTTTCCTTAACAAAAACTTCTTCAAAAATGTTTAAGCACCTTCGTATATTTCTAGAACACATAATGTTTTAATAGCATACATAATACATAATTCAGAACACCAGCTGAATTCTGAATACTGTGTTCAGAAATCCCAAAAAGTCAATCAGGCATGTAAAAGTGCTATGGTGAAATTACAGAGTTCCTATTAAACACTATACGCACAACCAAATAAAGGAGTTCACACATTTAGACATATAAAATGTTTACTCTTGGGAACACCAAGATTTTAGCTCTGACTCAGCACAGAATATTTTTACATTGATAGAACTCAACAAAGAATATATTTGGGGATCAAATAGTCTGAACTTGTTCTCTGCTAACCCTCAGTCATAT